TGACCTTTTGGATGATTTATCTATTATGTAAAGTCAAAGTTTAACTCTTAAAATTATTAACACTCACTAATATTTTTTTAGCTTCTAATAAAATCTGTAAATTATCTTTTCAAAAAGTTTTCTAATTTTTTATTCTTTTTCATTGTCATTTTATCGCCTAAAGAGTAAAAAAAATTAAATAACTAAATTTTATTAAAAAAGTTAAATTTTCAAGGTCGTGAGTTAAAAGCCACTTGAATGTTCTAATAATTAAATACTTTGTGCATCTTGATATTAATTTTATTATAACAATAAAGTTATAGAAGCATTTTAAAATAGAATTATTGTCATACGTCTCATAATGTATCAAATAATCGGCGAATAATAGGGTGATTCTATTAAAAAAAACTGGAAGTTCATAAAAATATTTAATAATAAAATTTGGATTTACAATAAGAAAAATTGTGACGTTTTTATTTTCATTTTATTGCACAATGCAACTTAATTTTTAATTATTTTTCATTTAAAGCCTTTTTTTTTTTTAAGAACTTTACTGAGCTTAAATTATTTTAAATTCAATTTTACATAATGTAAATTACATTGATAAGATTTATTGATTAATACATGATAATAGGTATTATAATTATCAAGGAAAACCCAATAATACTTATGCTAATTTATCATTTTTTTTTTTTTAGAAATCGTTTAGAAAATAACACTGAACATTGGAATGCTCTACTATTATCATTAAGAGAATTAGTGGAATGGATAATAAAAAAAGATACAGAAATATCTAGTTTTGGTCCCTTAGGTAATGATTTGGCTACATTACAAAAACAAAAGGTAATAAAGTAGTTTTGTTTGTAATTCAATATTTCTAAAAAAAATGTATCTGTCTTAAGGATGATCATAAAGGATTTCATCGACAATTGGAAGAGAAAAGACCTGTTATTGAGTATAACTTACGTAGCGGCAGGCAATACATAAATATAGAATCTCAAATTACAGCCTCAGTAAAAAATGAAGGTAAATAATGATCTCATATGACTTATATTCATAAGACTCTTTAAAAGTAATTTATTTATTTATTCAATTTTTTTAATTGAAATAAAGGCTGCAACAACAAAGGCCATTGGCCTTTGTGATTACATGCTTATCAAGTGTATATCACAATAAAATGGCTATTTAAATAATTAGATTAAGTTAACAATGAGAGTGAATAAAAGTTGATCACTAGCACATAAGTTATATAGATATTATATTAAGATAAATAGTTTGGTAGCCTTGAGGAATTTTGTCATTTTTCGTACAGAGTTACAGTCTTGTTTCAGATATTGGGAGAAGTGGCGAGGTATCCCATGTGCATCTCTTTAATGTTCATACTTTTAAGAATTTGTGAGAATATCATTGACAGAGTTAGTGATTCCACAAATCTCGCATATCGGTGGAGTGCTGATGTTCATTAAATACCCATGAGTTAGGTGTATGTGTCCAATTCTGAGTCTGTTAATGATGACTTGGTGTCTGCGTAGTATAGATACGGCCATTTTTGGGTGTTTTTTTTCATTTCGTGTAATTTAGTTTCAGTACTTATCCATTCTTGTTGCCATAAAAATAGACATTTTTTATTACTGGTTGATTTGTTGTCTTGGATAGTGCATGAAGGTGTTATTGCTATATTGTCAACTTTTGCAGTTTCCTTAGCTAGTATGTCTGCCTTTTCATTTCCTTGGATTAATGAGTGCTCTGGGTCCAATATCATTTTTATAGATATACCTTTGTGGTGTATTGAGTGGACTGTTTTTGTATTAAATTGACTAGAAAGTTTGAGTTAAATGTATTATCTATGCTAGTAAGTGCACTGCGAAATTCGGTTAAGATAATTGAGTCTCCGATATTGTTTTCTTGAATATATTCAAGTGCCTTTAGTTATGTATATAGAGAAATTTTTTAGTAACTTATAGGTCTTATAGGAATTTTCAAGTACTATAGATAATTCTACTCCTTCTTCCATCTTAGATGCATCAGTGTATAATTTGTTCCAGTTTTGGTAATTGTTCATAAGTTCTATAAATTTGTTATTGTAAATTATTTGAGGGGTTGAGAGTTTTAGCAAATGGTGTAGTTCATAGTTGATATCTAATATATCTGACCATGCTGGGAATTTTAATTTATCTGTTCTTATAATTTTAAGAGGGGTAATGCCAGATTTATTACTTATACATACTATAGCGCTTGATTTGAATGCTCCTAGAGCATAATGTATGCCAGCATTGTGCATAGTGTTAAGTAGTTTATTATATTAGAGAAGGTATAGCAAAAGACAAAGGATCCATCTCCAATTTAAAAAGAATTAGTGATTTATAATTGTTAAATAATGTTCTCGTAGAAGCTCCCCATTTAGTGAGTATGTGCAATAAATTTGATTAGGTTGAGTTTAGTTACAGATTTTTTTTTTTAGATTACTCTCATGTTGCTTCCAGCTGCATTTGTGGACGAATATAAAAAGTTATTTTACTTTATATTAAAATAGTTATTTTTTTCTTTATTATTAAAAAAATTTTTGTTAAAAAGTAAATAAAATTTTCTATAGATTTAAATAATACTGGAGATTCAAGAGGATATCGAAGTGCGGAAGAACGAGCTCGTGATATAACAATAAGCTTAAAACGAGAAGTTACCAGAGTATCAGATCAATGGAATTCTCTCCTTAACCGTTCAAACAAATGGCAGCAAAGTTTAGAAGAAGCAATCACAGTAAGTCTAAAATAATTTTATTATAATAACACTATGATTCTTTACTACAGAATTTGTGTTTGATCAGCCAAAAGTAAATTATTTTAATATTTAAAAAAACCCAGCACAGGGGGGTCGCGGCACAGTGGTGACGTGGCATAGTTGGATCAAGTATAATGATATCTGACAGTGATTAAAATCACTATCAAAAAAAAACGCTTCGATGCAAATCTTTAGATAGTGTTTAATTTTAAAAAATTGGTGGATTATTCCAAAAGCTTCATAAACTGCTAGTTCCTTATTAATATCCTGATTAAGACAAAGTATGTAGAATAAAAAAGAGATCATTAGAAAATAGTATTTCCCATAAAAAAATTATATTGATCAATACACTTTTCAATAAGTTATAGCATTATAATGTTAAAAATGTAAAAAATAAAATTGAGAATTTTCACACAATAATAGCATTTGGTAGCCATTTTCACCTTGAAGATAAAATAAAGTCCGAAATTTTTTTTTTCCATGATAAAGTATATTACATTAGCTTTAATTTAAGATATATATAAAAGTGTCAGACCTTCCGGAACATTTTCAAAATTTAAGTTAAAAAAATTAATTTTTTGTGAAAAAGTTGTCATTTTAAATCCCCCCTTGTGGGCAGGTTAAGGGTTAAATTTATGAAAAAAATATACCAAATGAAAGGTAATGATATTATGCATCTATATAAAAAAGAATTATATTGATATGTTTATTTTTGAAAAAGTTATGGCACTTTTAAGTAAAAAAAATTGAAAAAATTT